AAGTATCAAAACACCCAGGGTGCGGTAAAAAAACGTTTTGAGACAACGTCACCGATCGAAATCGAAATAGAAATATGCATTAAAAGAAATGGAAACAAAACAAAATTATTTAATTCGACACAAACAAATGATTGAACAAACGAGAACATTGAGATAAAATGTTTTGATAAAATCTTTTAAAGGCAATTGTAGTCAACGCAAGTAGCACATCATTTATAAAACTTTAGATTATCTATTAAACCTTTAAGTCTGGTATTCTTTGCATTTCTTACAGAAGAAAAAAAATACTTAATTGCCGTCATTTTAATAGATTACTCACACCACATTTTTTTAGCTACCATCACCTTTGGTATTGAACTTAAGGCTTAAATTAATTTGATTCACCTGAGTTTCGTTATTCACTTTTTATTTTGGCAATTTTTTAAACCTGATGCGCCGCAGACTTGGCGAAAAAAGTACGAGTTGCTGGCAAGCAAGGTTTGGGGCTTGAGATACATTTTATGGACATCATCGTTAAAGTAATCAGCAGTAACGACAAGAATCATCAGACGCGGCAGACGGCGACAAGGCATTAACCAAACCGAAAAATACATGCATACCGTCATATATATCCATATAAAAAGTCAGCGCAGAGAGTGAAATAAAGTTAAAAGACTTTTAACCAAATTCAAGGTCAACTTCGTTTCAATAAATTGCAAACGGAATGGTAAAGGCAAAGCTCAGGCTGTGGGCAGATGGCAGGGGACTGATCCGAAGGAGATCTGCGACTTTCGGCTGCTTGACTCAAATTTGCAAAAACGAAAAATACCAATACCTTCATACATATGTATATATGTATGTATGTATTGAGCCATCAGGGGATTACCTGTAACTGAACCCACCTTCCGCTCTGATATCTCAACGATATTTCAAGTGAATTTTTAGCGTGTTAATAAAGACTCGAAAATTAAAAAGAATGGCTCTGATACAGCTGCATTCACATGAGTTTTATTTAGGATACATGTATGAAAAATGTCGATTAGTTTGAAAATACATTTTAAAAGTTGCTTAAAGTGGACAATCAAATTCGAAATGAACAAGAAAGGACCTTTCCACACGAATATAAACTAAACCATTCAGTAAAACTGAACCCACCTTCCGCTCTGATATCTCAACGATATTTCAAGTGAATTTTTAGCGTGTTAATAAAGACTCGAAAATTAAAAAGAATGGCTCTGATACAGCTGCATTCACATGAGTTTTATTTAGGATACATGTATGAAAAATGTCGATTAGTTTGAAAATACATTTTAAAAGTTGCTTAAAGTGGACAATCAAATTCGAAATGAACAAGAAAGGACCTTTCCACACGAATATAAACTAAACCATTCAGTAAAATGGCATTTTATATTGTGAGCGTATGGGATATTTCTGAAAAGTCCTTAGAAATGTAATAAACTGCATATTATAGTAAATAAAATCTCATAATATTAACAAATTTTATTAAAAAAATTATAAGACAATTCATAAATTATGAAGGTGCCAGTTACCACAAACTCATGCACACATCTCCCTTTAAGTATCAACCACAAATAACCCGATTCCAACATTTATTTACTTAATTTATTTATTTTACCTGTTAACCAATTTATTTCTGATAAATTGTTTATGTATTGTTGGTACATACAAGTCTGGTCTGGTACGCGTTTCTGCTTTTGATGGTTCTGTTGCGGCTTGTGTTTACACATTTTAAATGAGCTTCATGTACTTTAAGTTTAATCAACTTTGCACCGCTGCCCAAAGCGGCAAAAACAGCGGCTGTAACAATTGATTAATTAATTAATTATTTATTGAACGTGCAGCAAGCAATGATGCTGCTCCAGTCCTTAATCAAGTATTAATTGAGAAAAAATTATCTTGTTTGTAAGGTAAAAAATAAAAAAAACGTAAAAATAAAAATCTCTTGCTCTGAAGTACGTATGGGTGTATGTATATGTAACTTCTGTTATTGTTAGCTGAGAAAGTAACTGTGTCGATATAACCCAGCACTTGTCTAGCAATGCCAGCAATAAATATTATTTACACTTTGCACACTTGGTAAAAACCTAGTAAGAGGGGTAGTCAGTTTAACAAAACAGAGAGGCGAACTTCAAAGAAGAGGAAGCAGACATCCCACAGTCCACACGCCCTTAGGCACAGGCCCCAATCCTCTAAACCCCTTTGTCATAATTTTCAGTTGAACTGTGTCAATGGCCTTGAAATTGTTTTGCACATTAGTGGCTGCCAGTTTAGTAGTTGGTGCAGCCGGACTGCGAGATAGAGGGTCAAACTGCACCCGCTGAGATCTTTGTGAGCCCATAAGTAAGTGGTTACACACACATCCACAACCAAGAATATTTTATGATTTTCTGGTGCCATTGAATTTCCGAGTACCACAGTGCGTATGATTAATATGAAAATATGTATGTTTATCTAAAGATAATCTGTTTAATATAGATACTAATTTATTATTTTTAACGACCAAATAAACATGTCACCTAAGGGCTTTTTTTACTTTATAACTTTATATTTATAACTAAAACAATGCAATAATTTTTTTATTCAAATACCGTTTATGAAACCGGATATAAAATTGGATTAAACTTGGAAAACTTTATATATATGTATATATATATATATATATATACCTAGAGGCATGTTCGCCCTAATCACTGGGGGTTCAATAGCTCAAACACTGTCGACTTCACCGTCTAGCCTCACAATATATTTTTAAACATCACACTTCCAAAGTGTACCAACAATAAGTGTTAATTTGTGGCCACATCAACCGAAGCGCTTTTTGAACCCGCAACACTGAAAACCCTAAAGTGTTGCCCTCCAGCCTTATACAGTGCAACACGTAAAAAAAGAACAGCAAAAATTAAGAGATTAATTTGAGACAAGCGAATGCAAAATACGAACCATAAACCACTCGGGAGAGATCCCAGAAAGACGGGAAATGTGATGAAAGCCATAAAAAACAACATTTTTTCAACGAAGATACCAATACTCTGACAATTAATTCGTTCCAAACTTTGAAATTCCAAGATATCCAAAAAGATTAACAAAAATAGTAAACATTAAAATAATTAATATTAAGGACTAATTATATAAAGGATTTTGAAAGGGAATCCACATTCACCACATAAAATGCAACTGGAATTATCTAAATAATTTAATTTTTGTTCCTCCCAGAGGCAATTAGGGTTGCAATAATTTAACAAACTTGAACTTCAGCCGGACGGCACCTTGGGGTCGTCTTTGTGCCTATTTGATATCTGGTAATTGCAAGCTTCAATGGCATTACTCATGCCGCTTGCCTAAGGCCAGATATCGAGAAAAACTAATGCTCGCCGGGTGACATTGTAAGAAAATGCTGTTGCACTTGATGCTGCCAACTAAAGATGCTAGTTTCGACGAGATGACGCTGAGCTCGCATCAAATGCACTTGTGAAGTTTTTTCTCTCTTTTTTCGCTTTTGCTATTTTATTTCTGCTGCCTTTGTCGAGTGTAAGATTTCTAGTTCACCATGAAACGGGACGCAGCTGGCTGCGAGTTTCATGGTCGCGTTTTTGAACCATTTTGCCAAGAGATACAGCACCCAGATAAGGGGAGCAGGAGGCCAAAACCCGTTGTGCAACATTTTGAAGCCAACCTTGACCCGGTTCTACTTCTATCTGTGAGCCCGGCTCGAGCCGGCTCTCACCTTAGGGCATTTACCAAATTCCCAATTGGCTCGAACTTCAGGCAGACGCGGCAGAACTTAATTAGCATTTCCGCACGTTCGCCCATTTACTTGTCCACAGTGTGAGATTTCCACTGTCTTAAAACGAAAAGTGGAAAAATACAGCCAAGAATGAGAAACTGTTGCTCCAGAACAACCTAATTAAAAGTGCTCCTTGAACTTGCTGCCTAAATGGATTCAGCATGGATTAATGCCTTAAGCTGTTGACTTCCAGATAACACTTCATCAGCCTGTCAAGGAGTTGGTTCAGCTGGAGGATTTTGCCGTCAAGATGCAAAAGTTTTCAATTAAAAAATGTTCTTATTTACATTTCAAATGTACTCGTTGGGTTCGTTATTTCACTTGACATTATCTTAATTGAATTTAATGCCAGAATATTTGGCCAGCCGAGTGATATTTAAGATATCTCGAGCTGATAAATATTTAATTGAATTTATTTTAATTAGTTCAACTACAAGTAAATTTCTTGAATAATAATTTATATTTTTATACCCTTGCAGAGGGTATTATATTTTGGTCAAAAGTGTGCAACGAGGTGAAGGAGCTATCTCCGACCCCATAAAGTATATATGCTCTTGATCAGGATCACCTCTTGAGTTGATATAAGCATGGCCGTCTGTCCGTCTGTGTGCTTCTACGCAAAATAGTCTCTCAGTTTCATCTTGAAACTTTGCATACAGCCTTCTTTCTTTTGCAATCAGTATATAACGCAGTATATAAACCCGGATCGGCCGGCTATATCCTATATCTGTCATATAACTGATTGATCGGAAATGCTATAACTTAGGTGTTTTTAGAGTTAGAGAGTTTGGATTTTGTATGAATGCTACTTTTGCCAAAAGTTTTGGCAACATACATACTAGATTACTATAGACATATAGACATACTTATCTAGACATACTAGATTTCATAAGGATCGGCCGATTATATTTTATAGCTGCCATATAACTGAACGATCGGTAATGGTATTTAGTAATAATACCAAGTTTGGTATGTTTAAAGATAGAAGCTTGGGACATTTTTTAGATTTTGTACTGTAATAAATTTGTTTTTTTTTTTATTATCTTATAAGGATCGTTCACCTATGTACATCCGATGTTTGCAATATATACCCGGGTTTAACTGCAAGAGTAAATCAACTTCGGGTCGGCCCGAAGCTAGGTTTACATTATTGTTTTAAATCAAACTACCGAATTGTATTAGAAACAACCCTTGTCAAATGGTCGAGCAGTTGTTTTCAATTCGTAAGGTCAGTTGTCACGGCAATGGACTAGCACCAAGCGCTGGTTCCCATAGAAACCCCCTGGAAAGCAAACAAAACAGAAGTGTTCAAGCGAAATTTTTTCATTTTCCAACGAAGCGCAAACACAGTATGCTGCATCAGGGAATCATTTTGCGTGAAGGACATGTCACCAGGACAATTTACAACTTGGTAATTGTTTAAAAAAACTATAATTAAATTTGAACTCTAAATTAACAAAATGTGACAGATCAAAGACAAGCGTTATGAGGATGTAATCGAATGCATAACCAACTTTGGGGAGGCAGCCAGCACAAGAGCAGGCCTTTCCACCCTGGGGCATTGTTATTACCACGCCCAGAAGTACGAGGAGGCCGCCACTTGCTATGAGCAAATTTGCCACCTAGCACCCAATGAAGCCAAGTACAGGTGAGAAGAACCAAATAAAGACATTTGCAATTAAAATTGTAAAACTCTTCCCATTTAGATTCTATTATGCCCAATCCCTTTATCAGGCTGGGCTTTTTGGGGAGGCTCTGCGGGTCCTTAAACAAATCGGTGACCAGGAGGACGAACTCCAAGAGCTTTGCCTTCAACTGCAGAGTGCCATTTTGTACTCCAGTGAGGACTATGCCGGCGCCCAGAGTCTTCTAAATCAGCGGGCTGGTGGCACTGCCGAAACCCTCAATGATGAGGGGTGCCTGCTCTTTCAAGCAGAGCAGCATGAGGCAGCGGTGCAAAGATTCCAGGCTGCACTCCAAGTGGGTGGCTTTAACCCCTTGGTGGCGTACAATGTGGCCCTGGCTCATTTTCAAAGGAAGCAGCGGGCCCAGGCTCTCGATTACACCTCGGAAATAGTGGAGCGAGGCATGCGGAATCATCCAGAGTTGGGGATCGGGGCCCAAGTGGACACAGATGGCAGCGCCAGGAGTGTGGGAAATCCCATCACAATGGCCATGTCGGGAATAACGCAGGCGCTTAACTTAAAAGCAGCTTTGGAATACCAGGTTAAGTTCAGATTGAAAAACAATAACTATGGTATATTTTGGGGACAAATTCCTCTTCGTAACCAAAAATTATCAGAAGATGTACCAGAACTGGGGGGAAAAATAATGATTTCATTTTTTAGGATGGCAATGAAGAAGCTGCTAGGGAAGCACTCATAGACCTACCGCCACGTGCTGAAAGTGAATTGGACCCGGTCACGTTGCACAACATGGCCATAACGGACCCCCAGGGTCCAGTCGCGGGGCTCAGGAAACTGGCCTTCCTGCTCCAGTTGGGCGACGCATCCTGCCCGAAGGAGACTTTTGCCAACATTCTGCTGATCTGTTGTCGGCACGAACTCTACGAAACAGCTGCGGATATCCTTGCCGAGCACACGGGCCTCACCTACAAGTATTTATCACAGTATCTTTACGAACTCTTGGACGCTCTGATAACCGCACAAACAAGTGGAGAGTTGGCCGAAAAGAAACTGGGTACCTTGGCGTCTAGTCTGGCCGGAAAGCTACGCAGCTTGGCAGCCAAAGTTCAAGAGGTGAGGGCCACTAATGAGCAACAGGCACTCAGAGATGCCCTCAAGGACTACGAACAGGCCCTGGAACTGTAAGCTAATAAATTTGAAATATCTCAATGGTTTTCAAACTAAAGTTTGTTTTTCCATCAGTTATCTGCCAGTGGTAATGGCTCGAGCCTGGATTTCCTGGCGAGATGATGATTTTGTGGGAGCTGAAAGAGAGTTCCATTCGAGTGCAGAATTTTGTTCAGAGAACTCAATTTGGAGGCTAAATGCGGGACATGTCCTCTTCATGCAGGGCGATAAATACCAAGAGGCAACTGCCTTTTACGAGCCCATCGTCCGTCAGCACTCTGATGACGTGAGTTTTAGCTGTTAACTATAAAAATTCACCTTTTTCGACTTCTAACTACCAACTCCCTTGGCATTAACCAGATCATGTCCGTTTCGGCAGCCGTGCTGGCCAACCTGTGCGTGTCCTACATCATGACCCTGCAGAACGAGGAGGCCGAGGAACTAATGCGCAAAGTGGAAAAAGCCGAGGAGCTAAAGGGCAATATGGGAAAGCAGTACCACCATTTGTGCATTGTCAATCTGGTGGTGGGCACTCTGTACTGCGCCAAATCAAACTATGAGTTCGGCCTCTCCCGCATCGCCCACGCACTGGAGGGTGGGTCAGGGAACAGGCTGTACGCGGACACCTGGCTGCATGTGAAGCGATGTATCCTGGGGCTGTTAACGGGCATGGCCAAGCAGAACATAATCCTTCCCTATGCCATCGTGCAGGAGGTGCTCAGCTTTTTGCGCTTTTGCGAGGCCTACGGCCTCCTGACACCGGCTAATATATTTCCTGCCACTGAACAGGTGCCGGAAAACCCACTGACCATTGGTCTGGAGGCCAGGAAATTGCGGTTACTTTTGCTGAAACTCAGCGAGTATGATAATTTTTAAAACAACCTTTGCTTTTTTAAAGATTTGTGAAATAAAAGGTTTTACCTATGACCAGTTCTTTAAGTAGTTGGGTATTCGGTCATCTTCCAAACCAACAAAGCCCCTAATCGACTCTGCCATGAAGAAAATGTTTCACCAAAGGAAATGAGCCCTGGGATCAATTTGTCTTAGATGTGTGTGACAGTCGGAGATTTGAAGGACCTCCGGGCGGTCCAGCCGAGTAAAAGAACCAAAATAAGACGGGTAATAAATATAAATTACGAGTGGAAGTGCAGAAATCTGTCATAAATCACATTAATGACAGATTTTCATCAGGCAGGTCGGCGTAAGCTGGAAGTGGATTGAATGGCAATCTATTGACAAAGAACCTGAACAGAACGCGCTAGCCCAGCCGAACACTCTCCACCGTACAAATGGGAAGAGGTTGGAAATGGCAAGGGGCGTAGATGCCGCTCCGCTCAGCGAGCACGTGAGCACTCACGCGTTCGATTTGACAACGTGTTTATGTCGCAGCTCAATTCCGCATTGACAGCCCCATCGACGTCGTCCTATACGTTGTTGCCACCAATGGGGTAGCAAAATGGAACAAGTGGTAACAAGCTATTTTGAAAAGTGTGGCGAACACTAGATACTTGGTAGTTATATAAATTAACGTCTACCGCTAAACATTATTTATGTAAAGAAAAATGTGTTAAAATAAAGAAAAATATTTATATTTTTTTTTCCTTTTCAATAAAGTTTATTTAATATCAAGCGATAAATAAAAATCTATAAAAAAAAATAAACCTTTTTTATTATAAGGTATCAAATAAAACAAAATAAGAAACAATTTGGTAATCATCTTGTTCCAATATAGAACTGTTCTGCATACTGCCGTAGCATACTTCTCATACTTCCCTTCGCATCCTTACTCCCGTCCTCATGACCATCATCATCAGCATTGATGTTGTCATTATACTCATCGACATCCTCCTTGTCATTACGCGACGCATTCCAAAAAAGGAGAAAAATTTACGACATGAAAACACTTGTCATTAACACAAACAGACACAAGCACTTCCCATCGCGCACATATACTCTTACAAAAAACCACACACACTTAAAGAATTAGGGCTAAGAGATGGCGCCTACATTTGACTTGAAAAATAGAGGTAATAGGGTACTATGGGTTGGTGAAAACTGAGAAGGAAGGAACAAAAATTCTAATATTTAAACTGGCTTTTAAAAAATTTGGGACCGGGAAACATCAAATAAATTTTATTGTTTGTATATAATTACAATAAGCTATGTACGGCTCTCTTATCCATATTCGTTACTATCGATTGGTAATTAAATACTTAAAGACTCAGCCGTGCCCCAACTTAATCAAACAAACGAAACTTAAGGTAACTTTTCCAGTACTCTTATTTCCCTGCTGTCACCGTCAAGTGATGTTCATTTTGTTTTACTTTATCATGTTTGTTGTCCGCTGCCTGTTAGTACCCTTTTGTTGGTGCCCCATCCTCCCACTTTCATTCACTTGCTTACTACTCCCCGCGTACTCCTCCTTAATCCTACCCAATTCGTTTTTATCCTGCCAGACAGCAGCCGCTGGTAAATTGTGCATTTCAACTTTGCCTTAACACTTTAGGCCCCCGCCCCTGGTCGGACCCCTCGCACTGAGTGTCGATTGTTAATATGCCTTTTAAGCAGTTTTCCCCCGAAAGCTGTGCCAAAGTTGGCTCTCCGGCTCAAAACTCTAACTAAATTGTGTCTGCCACTCTAACTTATTTTCCAGGCCGTTTTGCAACGGCAAACACGCATACCGATGGGAGTACTTTGTACACGTATGTATGGAAATGTCCTACTTAAAAGGGCTTGCATGCACTACTCCCTGCTGTGTGATCGTTCTCCCTCCAGCCTCCCTGCAGCCATTGTCTATGGAGCTAGGTGGTGGGTGGAAAAAAAATGTATAAGCCGCATTCAAGTCAAAAATCAATAAGGCTTGGTTGATGTTCCCGTCGAGGTTCCTCCTATTTTTTTGACCGTTGGCTTTTGATGGGGGCAATTGTTGCATGTCAATGTGTGCGCATTTTTGTTGGTGTGTTTTTGTGACAGCTTAACTGTAAACGAGGAAATAGCCCCAGGCACTGGCTAGAGGACCCAATGATAGAGGCATGAAAAAAATGGTCTTGCAAAGAGGAAATCATGTCCTGAGCGCAAGGATATTCAGTGGTTAATTGAAAAAGGAGCCATTATAATGAAAAAGGAATTTAAAATTTTCTAAATAAAATATGCAAAACTTTCAAGAAGCGTTTTTTATATTTGGGGAGAAAATGAGAATGATTTACAACTCCATTAAAGAATTGACAACTCCAAAGCAAATAAGAAGCAATGAAACGCCCTTTTCGACTATTAATTATAGTTAAATTGGAAACTTTTTGGAGCAACTTTAGCCATTGGTCTGTTTATTCAACCATTAATCAAAGACCTATTTACAGGCCACAAGGTTGCAGCTAACAAAAGGGCTATCTCTATCAAATGATTGGCAGCCAATTTAAAGGAGATACCCAGTTAGCTGTCATGATTGATGCAACAATAGCATTCACGGCCGGATTGTTTTCTTTACTAGCTCACGAAAACTCGCTTTCGAGCACTTTTCGCAAGAAAATTTCTTAGACAGACGAAGCTTTGAATTTTGCTCTGGGAAGCATTAAAATGTTCTGCACCATTTAGCAGAATTGTTGAACTGGTAGGACGAGAAGGACATGTTGTGTAGCCTACTGTGGCCAATAACCCTACTAGTTCGGGTTTGAAGTTTTAACGGAGCTAGTAATTGGTTGAAAATTTAAATATTATTTTTGTTAGTTATTTTTGTTATATTTTTTGTTTCAACAAAATCTAAAATTTCTAAGAGTCCTAATATTTAGTAACGATTTTTTTATACAAAAATTATTAAAATGGTGGAATTAAGTTTGCTACTGTAAGATATTAACAGAGTCCCCAAACTTAACAGACATTTATGAAACTGCCGCTGTTAAATAAAAATCAAGAGAATACTTCAACAAAAGAGAATTTAACGGTGGCAGCTTTTCTGAAGTTCTCTTTTGGGGGTTTTACATTTTCAGATTACACTAGAAGATGGCAGACTGGTGTCTAGTCGAATCTATTCTCATTTCCCCAAGTGGTTGGAAAGCATATGGAAGTCCAATTTAAAAATGTTAAATTTTAGAAAATAGAGGAACCATTATCTTTCGAGAATTTTACGCCAAATTGGCTCAACCTAAAAGTCAAAATCAATTCATTTTCAGAGAGTGGCCGAAACAAACTAAACAGCCATTGGCGATGCGAGTTCCCTAACAATGCGGCAGACTAAATGTAAAAGGCCAAATTGTGCATGAAAGCACTAACCATACAGCATATAGACAACCCATTTCATACAACGAAAATGGACGCGAAAATTTCTTGCGACAGGCCCCAGCAGGCCCCAGAGCGGATTTCTTACGCTCTCTTACGCTCATCGTTCGTTCAAAATCAAAATTTTGTGCGCTGGCTTCGAAACGAAATCGCACGCACACATACACCCATGTAAGTGAATGTGTGACACGCATACATACATTCGGTTGATCGAAGCGCAGGCCAACCTTCTTCATCGCGCTCCGTTTAGAGACTGAGAAACAGAAAAATTTAATGAGAGAATGAGCGTAAGATGAACGAACGATGAGCGTAAGAGAGCGTAAGAAATCCGCTCTGGGGCCTGCTGGGGCCTGTCGGAAGAAATTTTCGCGTCCATTTTCGTTGTATGAAATGGGTTGTCTATATGCTGTATGGTTAGTGATGAAAGGCACAGACAGAGACCCGAAAACTGACTGGACGAGACATACAAACGTGTATATTTATGTAACCTTTGTGTATCCTCGAGTCATTTGAAATTTGCACAAATGAAAATTGTGGCAGTAAATTGAATTACCCAAAACAGCAGCAGTGGACAGCAACAACAACAGCAGCAGGGACTACCGCAGTGAAAACAAAACAATAAAGACGACGGGAAAAGGAATAAAAGTGGCCTAACCGGGACCATCCCGCCTTCTGTGTCTCTTCTCCTTGCCCACCCCAACTCCTGGCTATCTTATCCACCCCTTGGCCGAAACGACATCTCTGTTTCAAAACAAATAACTTGGCTCGTTGGAAGACAGGCTAAAACAAGAAGACCCGGAAACATAAAGGCAGAATTTGGTTTCTGGGCCGCAAGATACCCGGTAATGCTGTCCCGCAAGTACATATATGGTAAAAGTCAATTGAATAGTTTTTAAATATGTTGCAGAGTCCTTGAATAAATAAAAATTATTAAAATTAAGTAACTAAATTAAAGTTTGCCACAAAAAAAAAAAATAATTATTACAAAAGAAAGAAGTTAAAGGACGGGAGAACGTAAAAGTGATAAGCTGCATCACTTTTAAGCAAACAAAAATTTATCCCATGTTTCTCAAGAATTAGAGATATAGATTATATATTGTAGGTGGTACCTGCGTTGCAAACTCATATATAAAATTAGAAGACCCTCTGTAGGAGTAAAAAATAAACTGTAGCCATCACTAACTGCAAAGTCAAATGAAATCCTTAGGGACTGACTTGCTCCCCGCCATCCCTTGTTGTCACATTAGCCACGCCACGCTGTGCGTCCTTAATGAGCATCGCAGACATATGCCACGGGATGTCAGACCCTGAGGCCTTGGAGACCCTTCGTTCTCGGCCTGCGGAAGATGCCTGTCAGCCGGGGCCAGAGGTCGCGAACCATGCCCTGGATGTTTCATGGGTCCCATCACTACACGTCCAACGAAAATTGCTATGTTTAGGGCCACTGCAAAAAAAAGGGAAATCAGGAGAGCTTCGGGGTATTGGTTAAGGGGAGAGCTTTTGTCTATGCAGAGGCCACGCCATATGTAAATGGCTTGGTAAGACAAAATACGTCTTTTTGGCGGATTTGTCCCACTGAAGGACATGTAACGGTGATACAAAAAAAAGTTTGGAAAACAGACATTTAAATGGACAAAATTTAATGTCAGTAAATTTATTACATACAATTCGCAATGTTTCCTAAAGTTCTTTAATTCTGATTAAAGTTTCAAACCCAATACGTAAGTCCCGACGAAAGAGGACTATGTAACCTCCGCCAATCTGTAACATCAAAATCGACGCCATATCGATGTCGGCCATCAGCCTGAAGGATCCGCGCAGTGGTGGCGATGGCGGTGGAGGTACTTCCATTTAAAACACCCTTGCCGTTCAAGTGAGTAAATCCGAACCGATTTAACTTCACACTTGTTGATGAACATTATGTATTATTATTACATAAGTATGAAGTAAATATTTATATTAACTTGTCTTTACTTATGAAAGGAATAGGGTCGTGCCAAAATTGGTAATGTTGGGAAAACCAGACACAAACAGAAGAGAAGTCCCAAATAATAATTTTTTAAAATCAAAGCATTGTGCTCATATTTTTCTCTATAGTGCTCGCAAATTTTATTTTTGGCTTCCCGTTCCAGTTGCGAATCCCGAGACAAGAAGTTTTCTAAACAAATTGCAGATGCATTTCGACATTTTGTTGTCTTTTCAGCATGAGTGCCACAAATGTTTCTGACGTCAGCATCCACCCCAAACAGCCATTACATTTGAGAGCAAGTTTATACGTAAAAACAGCAAAAATAAAATAAAAGTACCAAAAGAAAAAATACCCAAGAAAATAACAACAAATTATTGTGCATTTTTATTTTACTTTTAATGAAATATACTTAGGTTAAAGACTAAATCCGGCATGACTGCTTCGCATCTCCATTACGTTTTTTTACCATTTTTCCAATTTATTCTTTTTTGCAGTTGAAAATACCAAAATTTGTAGCTTTTGCTTTTTTTGTTTCCTCTGCAGTTTTGCTCGATTTGCCTCAAATTAATTTAGCCTGGCCAGCCACCATGTTCGCCCATTGCAATGCATTGGAGTACTCCCAACACCACCCACCCATTAGCAGCCACTAGATGTTCACGCCATGGTACGGTGCTAGGGTTGACGTTACGCGAGGTCTGTGGGGTTTGACTGGGTCTGGGCTCTGGCTGCTGCCCAAAAATGCAATAAAATTAAATGTTTTCGTATAAAAAAAAACTTTATTACTTTGTGTTTATGTTTGCAACACGCTTGACGCTCCGACTCCCGGGCCACGAGAGTCGCGATCCGAGACTGCAGACGGCAGACTTTAGACGACTCTCGCAGTCCTCTCGATGGTGCTGTTGCTTTTAGACTTTCGGTTGGACGCTTGGCCTGCTTTAGTTTCTGCGGCTGATTGGCAATTGTTTTTACTGCGGTTCCTCATTTCGGTAGTTGCAGTTTTTTTTGTTTTGATGCTGCCTCTGTTGCCGGCTCGCATGTGTTGACAGTAATTAATTAAACTGGCATAAATAAAATTTATGCGAGCAACACATTTTGCGATACTTTGACATGCCCCTGCGTTGCAGCTTTGCCATTTGCCAAAAAGGTGCCTTTTTTTTGTTCGTACAAAGTTTTTTTGTACTACAAACATATTGGAAACATATTTTGGAGCGAACAAAACTAAGTTTGGAGTAAAAACGAAAATAGGAATATGGATTTATAGAACCTTGACTTGTGGCTAAGTCTTTTAATAATATATGTATCTCTTTAAAACAGTCAAATATTTCTTGATGTTTAACAGTCAAATATTTCTTTAAAACAGTCAAATATTTCTTGATGGGTTCATCTTTTTAGAAAAATCATGTTTTTTATCTCCATCTTCAAATCAGCTTTCCATCTTATCTTATTATTAAACTAAAGCGTCCAATCGCAATATGACCAATTTTACCAGATAATTCCACGCTTCCTAAAAATTATGGTTTCACTTTTTATACAAACTTATATAGCCAAGCTCCTTAATCGTTCTCTTTTACGCCTCTATCGAAAGTCTAAAGGTGAAATCATCGAGTGGCGCGGCACGTTCGCCCTTCAATTGAGGGGCGTGCGAAATGCATCGTAAAAATCAAATATGAAATACATGTTTTAACAGCTCACGCTTTTTGACAACATCATTGAAGAGTTCGGGCTGCTCGAGGTGTGTCCAACTAAATGCTTATTAATTATGAGTCTGCAGGCGCACCACTGGCAATGGCATTCCATAAACAACCGACAAAGTTCCGCACAACAGCAAAAGTAATTAACTTAATATTGCTGTAAAAAGAAAACTTTTTTGCCCCAAGTGTCGTAAAATAAAAGATTTCAAAGGAAGCTGATGGGCGAGGTGATGGCGAAAAGGCGAAAACCAGTCGTAATGAAGCTGGAAAGTGCAATAATGTTGAACATTTTATCTCACTGAACAGAACAACCCGAAACCGATGTAACTATAATTGTCTAGCAAAACAGCCATAAATTGAAATACGAAAAGATGAAAATATCGTGTGTCTGCATTTGGATGCATTGCGTTGACTTCCGCTGTGTGTTTAATCAACTTAAGTTTTAAGCCCACCCAAAATAGCTCGTCCATTGTCATGTGGAAAACTGTTAAAATTGGTCCTGGTCCGTCGAAAGAACCTTGTACCCTTCACCCCGGCGATTGATTCACACAGGGAACTTCCGCAGACAGCGGCGTTCAAAAAAGCCAACAAAAAGTTTACGCTTCATAGAACAAATTGAATAAATCATTTGACGTTGTCGGGCATCACCATCCAGTCATGTTGGGTGGGCACAGGGAAAAATGTAACTCAGGGTGGGGGTGGGCCGAAGGTCGTGAGCTTACACAATTGTTTCGCAAAGTTGATCTGGAATAAAAGATCCCTCCCCAGAGCTCCCTTCAATTGCAAAAATAACAAGTAGGAGGCGGTGAGACTGTGAAGAGATTTTAACGATAATAAATAAGTTATTGCATTTTAAGCGTTTAAAAACCATGCTTAGAAGAACAATTTTTGTTAATAAGCCACCTTTAAAGGTAATAAGATTTCTGGGGATTGTTTTCTTGTAAATTTTACTTTTAAAGGTTATCAAATGTGAATTACTAGATCTTAAAATGGAATAACAAACACACCATTTATATTCTAAATCACATCACTTTATATTGTGCCTGATTTGTTCTTAAACATTTGATTTATAAAAAAAAACTTTTCCTACCTTTAACCTAACTTTATCGAAACCTTTTAGCCCAAAATGTTGTGCCACCACTTGCTTTTCTTGTTGCAGCAGGGCCATTGGGGTATGCTGCAGCGTGGAGCGGGGCATGAACAGCATCGTGACCTAACGCTGATAAAAAATGAGTTTATCAGGAGCAGTAATAGTACCAAAAATAGCAACGGTATTTGGTGGTGACCAGTAGTCATTGTGGTGTAGTAGTCACTAAAAGTCCCGTACATCACGGGTTGAGTCGAAGTCACCGTGATTGTGCTTGGGACCTTGTCGAATCAGTGAATCAAATGTGGATGACATAATCGCATCGAGGCAGATGTAAATCACTGGAACAGAAAATGCATTTACAAAGGGAGGAGAGCCAACATATCAACTGCAACGGACAACAGTCGAGTGTAATTGCAAATGTCCGTTCCCGTTTCCGATTCCTGTGTTGGTTCCGTTGCCCGGCGTATCCGCGATGATGTGCATGTATGGACACGGACGTAAAAACAACATTGTGGAGTTATGCAGTTTCTGACGCACAACAATGTTCAATAATATGCAATAAAACAAATATCATCAGCGCTTAAATTGCACCAGCAATCTGGACAGAATCCGGCACGTAAGCTTTGACAGCAATGGAAAAAATTAAAGTTGACAGTTTAAAACCCACATCGAATTCATTTTGCCGGCAGTGCTGCTCTACAAAAATTCAGAAAATCATACAAAACCCAACGTCTGAAGAATTTAAACATGTTTAGGAATATTTGGTGAGGGAAATAATAATTTTGTAACTTATTTAAAAATAAATATTATTGCAATATTATTAGCCTTCTACTTTTATTATCTTCACTGATGGTCTTCACCATAGAGAAGAATATTGCCAAAAAAATGAATAAACAAAAATTACTTCGCGAAACCCGGCGAAAGCCTCTATTCGATCAATTAGAGGTGACAAAATGTCCGAAAGTTAAACCCTTGAAGAATGTTGATAAAAACAAAGTAAGTCCACTGAAAAGTCCAACATGCTGGTTAAATACGTGTTTCTTCCGTGTTTAGCTGTTGGGTTATTGGTTCGCTTATGCCACAACTCCCTTGCACTTGCCGGTTTACCAACGACGGTGTGCGTCCTACAACGTGAAGGATAATCGTAAGTTCTGTGGAATTTTCCAGGATAATGACGTCTTTTGCTACTTGTTCTCTCCTTAGCGTTCTTCAATACTAATATATTGTACACAGACTACGACCACGTAACTATCACATATGGCTGTACTTACAATGACATGACCGAGCTGTATGATAGTAAGTTTAGTAGTATTAAAATAATTATAATTATACATGTTTTAATTAAATTATTCTCAGTCAAATTGCGCATTCTTACCCGCACTCGAACCCCCTTGGTAGACAACTTGAATAAGGCTCTTTTTTATTTGGAATCTATTGCATTTCCCACTGGCAAGCTCGAGTTTCTTAAAGCCGAAGCGTTTTGCTTCGAATGGTACCAGCTGAACTTCCAGATAAAGCCAAGACCAGGGCGATTTAGCTCCCCCATAAACACAGTTTTGGATAATTTACGTCTCTAATGGTGGCAATGACAGCACAGAATAACTACTGCATAACTGTTGTTCATTATTGAAATATAATCAATATGTGAAGGACCTGCCAAGTGACGGAGAGGAAATCGTATAGTTTAATTAGCTCAGGCAACTCGAATCAAAATCAATTACGAACGCCTGTTTCAATGGACTCGGACCTTTCTAGGAAACCAATTTGCAGGCGCCCATGTCCTAGTTCCAGAATCCCAAAATACACTATAAAAAATCCTACTACACCAGTTTAAGATAATGGAAATATATTGACACAAATAGTTAGAAAAATATTATTTTTTGTTTTATAATTGGGCAAAGGCCAGTACATCTTAGAAAACAAAGTCCTTTTTGTACATATGAAGAATTTATAGCTTGTAGTTTAAGGTCTTGGCCACGTCAGGGATTTAATTCAATTTACCAAGAAGGGGATTCCTGGAGATTCCACAAAAAATGAAGAAAATGGACACTTGGAAACTTCTATGGCCCCCAAAATGTGTCGCCTCTTTGTCCCTTTTCATCTTCTCATTTTTTTTTTTGTTGGCTTATTTGGCTTCTGAATACCGAATTGCTTGGGCCATGCACAAATTGGCTTGGCTTTGGGACCCAGGCGGTGGGCAATAAAATCAAACCCATACTGGGCTCACTTGGCGTATGCGTAACTCACAATTATCCCTCATTGTTTGGGCGTGTCCCCCGGTCGGTATGGGCGTTGTTGATGGGCTCCAGAATAATAGTCTCTAGGCTGAGATAATTGTCATTGTCAGGCGAATTTTGGGTCTGCAGGACATGAGAAACTCGCTTCCGGCTACAGAATTATTGGGCGCAGACGAAAATGCCAAGACAATCCAATTTTCAAAATTGAATAAGTGCTTGAATTCAGATTTAGCTTTCGCCGAATGACTGGGTGGTCCTATTTTGCGAATAATTTGCTTGTTGCTTGTTTAGTCAACCTTTTGTAACATTTCATTTTTAAATTTGTTAAAAATAAAAAAAAAATTAAATCCTTATAAAACGTCTCAAGTAACTTAGAAATGTGCCCTAAAGTGTTATTAAAGCATAGAGATAAAGGGATTCACCTTTACCATATATCCTTCAAACAAACTTTGTATCCCAGGATTCATAGGTGACCACTTATTGTTTATTATTACAGAAAGATTTTAGAAACTGTGTATATTAATAAAAAAGAAATTCTTAACAGTGAACCCCGCAGAAAAAAGTTGGGATAGCTATAAATCGAGTTTTTGAACTTTATTTAACCTTTACAATGAAATAATCTCGAACAAAATTGTAAATTTTGGAAAACTAAAAATCATCTAGGAGGGAAGTAGAATTAAAAGTCTATAGGTGTTCTAAAAATCGTCCGATAGCGTTATATAGCGTTACTGTTATATATATATATACCCGCAACAGACAGCAGCCCCAACGAAAACTGTAACTTCTGATACGACATTAGAATTTTTAAATTCAACAGAGGGTGTTCAAGCGTTGAACACTATTTTATATATTCCAAAGATAGAGTTTCAAGGGATCGGACCCATGGAGATATGAGATAAGCAGCATGGTTTAAAACCGATCCCCTGCAGCCTAACATAAAAAACACAAACACAAGCATCGTAAATTACAAACATAAGTGCATCCGCTTGTCACACTTGAGAAAGGGTCGCATAGCATGTCAACGTGCAGTGCGTTGATAAGTAGTTTTTAATAGTTTTAAGATTTTCATGTATCTTACTTATAAGAGAACTTTGACGAATAAAATCAGTTTTGAAACGGAACTCATTGGAGTACAACCTTTATTTTGGGGCTCCTCTTAACAGAGGGCTTTAAGAGAAATTCTAGTGCCAATAGTAATTACTACATCTAAGTAGTCTGGAAATCTGCATTTACATTTATACCTATATATGAATAAATATGTAACTATATGGAATGATAAATCTCTGTAGATACTATGTACTTGCATATAAGCCTAATTGATGCGCTCTATTCGACTTTGCTTGGTTTTGTTAATATTCTTGGTATATAGCCGCTGTTGTAGTTAAAGCTGTTATTCAATTGAATCTACCAACAAACTACGTGGCTGGTGTTTGTGTAGTATTTGTTGTTTTAGCCACTGCCTGTCGTTGTCATTGTAACAATTTTATGGTTAGTACGTTTTTATTTCCACAGATTTCAGTGATTTTCTGTAGTCTTTTTTTTAACAAGCAGAGCTGTTTCGTTGGTACTGCTGTTGTTTCAATTGCATGACGCATTAAGCTATTTCAAGTTCAAATCAATTTTATGAATCTTTATGTAATCACGTAAGCGTCATTTTGGGAATCTAAATACACATGTATCTGTACACTTGCCCCAGTTAAGACTCAGAATTTATCCAGAAAGACATTTCTAATAGAAGTGCAGTATTTTAATGGTCCGTGATCTATAATTTTGCGTTAAGCAAATGCATTAGCAAATGTGTGCATGTCTAAAAATACAAAACTTTATTGGAAGCTGGCGCTAACCAAAACTCTTAATTAGCCGAAGAAGTTCCTTTTGGTTTGGCCAGTTCAGTGGGCTTGTTCTTTTTTGAACTCGCTCTTCGTGGCCGTTCAACTGGTTCTACCAGTTTCCGTTTCATTTTGATTTTAATTTCAGTTTCGTTTTCGCTTCTTTTCCGTCAAAAGAACAAGAAGATGAACCTGAAGATGCCGCTAAGCGTCGGCGACAAAGAAATAAAAAACCAAAACCATTTATTGATGTGATAATCTAAAGATCAAGGTCTTCCTTTTGCCATTTCAATAAATTTGATTTCGAGCTGCGTACATTTCTTGAACCCCCGGACTGGGACCGTACCGTTGTTGCTTTTGGACTCAATCTTTTATATTTATTTTTTTGATTCCGTAGAAGCAGCACGAAACTAGAATTCCGATCCGAAAGATGTCTCTCTGTGAAGTGTGGATTAGCGATAGGACAGGAAGTGCTGTCAGCAATAAACAAAAACAAGCAAGAAGAAGAATTAAAAAATAAGCGAAAGTTTAGGCAGCCTAAAGTGGAGCAAAATCCGAGGATTGTAGGGAATAGTCACATACCTATTCTCCAGTTCAGACATACCGGCTTCTGAAACATACATATGTACATATGTATACATGTTAAACTAATGTGGGTAGTGTCTGGATGGGGAGGCTGGGATTTTGGGTTTAGGTTTGCAATTCAAATGCAGCTTGCGACTTGCTATTCATTGGGGGATTGTCTCGAATGCAGCAGCAGCATTAGAGAATCAGTGCAAGCAGCTTTGAGAACGAAGAATAATGATATTGTCTCTGTTTCACTCGCCCCTAGTGTTGGGGTCTCCTTTTTGTATTCTTGGCCATCCAGAAACTTGTTCTTAAGCCTGAAATGAAAACGGCGTAATCTTTAATTTTTACTACCAATACTCTTAATTACCAAAAAATAATTCAACTTGTTGAAAGCGTAATTGGGGGGCCTTCCTTTTTATTTGGCTCCCTCAAAAAAGAGTTATTATGTAATATCGAAAAGCTATAGAAGCTAAAAAGTAATGCTCTTATCGTAACATTTTGGTTCTGGTTCTTTTCTTGGTATTTCTCGGTGTTTTTTGTTGATATTTCTTCAGATATATTCAACGCTGTAAAAATATTTCTGTTCCCAAAACCATAGCATCCATAGAATCCAACCTTATCGGCATGTCGATGAACGTAAATTTACACATTTAATGCTATTCTTGGGAGGCATTTGGGACATACCCCAGACTGAAGAGAAAGAGTGGAGTGCCGAACAACAAATCCGAGTCAAGCATTCAGTCAAACAAATGGTTACCCCCAAGAGGGGAAAAACGAAGAGTCATTTCCTTTAACTCCAAACAAATATTTCACACACAAGCAGCTAAACTACAAAACATATAACAAACAAGTGGAAAGCTGTGAAAAAAAAATTAAAATAGAAGGTAGTCTGGTTGGTCGAAGTTGAAAAAAAGAAAGATTTGTTTTCTGGATGCAAAATAAAAACCAAAAACTTTGATAATGTACCCTACACATAGTTCTGAAGGAGACCAATATGGGATAGAAGATACACTTTCAAGCTTACAAAAAATAAATACAAATCACAATTAAATTAATCAATAATCAATAAAAATAAGTAATGAAAACTACTTTCATAAAAGAAAAATCCATGAATCAACTTGGTTTTAATGGAAACGCCATCAAATAACAAATTGAATTATACCTCTCTACTTTTTGAATGACACAATTCACAGAGCTCTATGAAACTGGCGCGCCAAAGGTCAGTCAACTTTCGACTCGCAATTTGTCATTGTGCCAGGAGCCGTGAATAGCAAACTGAAAGTGACTCCGGGCAGCTGCCACTACCTCCCACGCACCGCCCTCACTGCCACAACCAGAGGGCCAAAAAGTGTCCACCAACGAACAAAGTCATTGCCAGCCAAATACTAAATATAAAAATCGTTTTCGCCCCAGCCGACCATCTGTTTGTGCGGAGCCATGCCACCATTGCAACGCTGCGTATACGCAATAAAATTTATGTTAATGCAAAATGCTTCAGACTGTCGCATTTTTGTGGACAAAACGGATAACGGATGGCAGATCGCATCCACGAGTCCCGCGTGGGTGGTGATTAATTTGCGTATTGTTCTTTGAAATATACTTTTATTTTCAATATATTTTCCACGGCGGATTGTGAAAATTTTTTTTCGTGTTATAGCAAGTGGCGCTGCTTTTTCTCAGTTTGTTGCTTTTACCGCAGTTGTCAAGTGAATAAAAGGCACTGTCCACCAAAGCTATGTATACATCGGATTATACCTTTTGTCCATAGATAGAGGTATTCTTTATCATAAATATATATGATCCTATAATATGAAGATTTGAGCTTTAAAATATCCTTATACTATAATTAAGATCTTGGAGATTTTCTTTTCCAAATTTTTGAACCAAATATTGGCACAACAATCGTTAATATTAATAACACAGGGAATAACAGTGAGAAAAATGTGTAAATGAAATTAATTTTTATTAGAAGAAATCATGCCTTGAAAGAATTTTTCATCAGAGGCATCAGTTTAAATGAAAATTCCACGGATAGCTAAGTAAATCGGCCTTGTAATGAAATAGGAGGCGGCTTTTTTCACCACCCAATCATCATTATTGTCGAGTGCTAAATGTAATTTATAGATACTAAGAACTCTGTCCAACAGGTTGCCGCCTAACTGGTTTCCAATACGCTTACACATAGCCAACAAAGTGTTACAAGATAGAGACCCCAAAGCGGAAGCGAATTCAATAAATTTAATTTACAAACAGTCCTTGAAGAGCCCATGAAGTGACCACGGCAGCTGCACCTCTACAGGTGAGCGCCAATTAGCACATTACATTGGAGGAAAATCTATCCAGGGAAGTTTCGCCGGTTCGACTTCAATTCAAGATATTTAAATGAAGAGGCGCTTCGCATAAATCGCATAAATATGCTAATTAGTCAAGTGCCGCGGCGTCGAGTTTCATAGTAAACACTTTGCGATTTTGCTTTGAATTTGAATTCATTTAAGCATCATTTCATTTGCATAAATCGCGAGAATGTTTAATGGACTTGTTTGCCATACAACTGAAGTAATGAAAATAAAATCGTTAATAAAAGCGAAAAGTGAGTTGAAATGAAATGAATCGAAGACCCGGTGCGGCGAAAAGTAAAAGTTAATTATCGCATCTAACTAGAATCATCGATTGGTTCTCCCAATTTGGGACTCTTAACTATGGAATTGGGTCAATGAATGAAGTCGAACAACTTTTACAACCAAACCAAAAACTTGGTTTATCAGCTTAAGAAGCTAAAAATGATTTTGAGACACTTCTTGCTCACAGATGTTGTCCTCTGACTTACGGTTCAACATTTGCAGCGAGGCACAAACAGCGATTGTCACTGCTAAAGAGAAGTGCCACAACACAGAAAGAGCATCAAGAGTCAGTTACTCAGCAAGCATGATAAGCTTTGAGGCTAAGATGGAGGAGGTCGTAAAAAGGGCAAAATAGCATTGAAATAAAAGAGCCAGTAACAACTGTGGAAAAATGAGCTGTCGGCTGATGTTCAGACAGCATTCATATCAAAGAGCGACACCACAGATTCTAGCTTTAAGATTTCATCCAAAAACTAATGCTGTCTATAAATTGGATTTGGATTTGGGGTCGGACTTTACTTTCAAATCACCAGAGACAACAACGGAAGCTCTTACGCAGCCAACTGATTAAATTTATTTATTATGTCACCCTAGTTTTTATTCTTATTGTTTTGGTCCCGTCCCCATCCACAAGAACCAATTTTCATGAGCTGTTTTCCAGCTCTTAAGTCCCATAATGACAGAGGGGCTATCGATTGCCTAAATCTCCCCTACCATTCGAAAGATTTTCTTTTTCTGTCCATCGGTGAAGAGTAAATTGGATTGAATTAGGATGCTGCTTATCAGTTGAATAAATTTTCTATTCAATGCCCCCGAAAAAATGAAAAGAATTGTACATTATTTTCATATAACTAATAAAAAAATAATGTAAATTTCAAGTAACTCATAATTTTAAGTTTTATTTATTCCATTACACTTTTTGGGCTAAAGAGCTTGAACTTCCATAAGGTATATTTTTTATATTTATCTGAAAGTTGTACAAATATTATGTAAGTAAGAAAAGCGTCACCCACCACATATCTGAATAGGTGAGACTCAGGTACGTGCCTGGCGGGAAATGTGCAGAGGAGGACACTTTCTCTAAAGTCGACTTCCAGTCGGATTCAGAATAGAACAGCCCAACCGGGGCATTCAGCTCGGCTCTTTGAGTTACGTGAGTTGTTCGAATTGGTTCTTGTGGTTTTCGAGGGGCTCTAGCTTCGAATTCTGTGTGTCACAAAGGGCGATAAAAATTAGCTCGTTCAGCTTACGAGGTGGTTCCTGGTTATTTTTATAATCCACGTCTCATGCTTACACGCGCTGTCCATTTCCCAATGTGTTGGGCTGGTTATCAACGAAACCTGTGCAAAGCTCATTCGTACTATATATTTACGGGTATATAGTTTGTACTGTACTGTGTTTTCAGTTTACGGCGCACAGTTCAATTGGCTTTGGTTCGGCTCTGAAATGGTTCCACGCTCTTCGGACATGACTCAATACGTACATTAATCATGCACTCAGAGACCACACAACAAAGTCTTGAATATATATGGATATTTGAAAAAGCTAAACGAACAAAGAGTGTTAGAATACTTTTTGTTTCAGCATCGTTGAGCAGAGATTTGAGAGAGAACGAAATAACCAACAACCGCAAAACAACAATAAAGAAGCCAAACGAAAATTACTTTTCTACTAATTGCAACTCTGGAACTGCTGAGGTCATCAGGTGGATTTGATGGCCAGGAATGGGGTAGAGGGGCAGCAGCAGATCATGTGGTCAACAGCTCTACACAATGCACAGGAAATTCGCATTCACTCGGTGCTAGGGAAGAGACAACAACCCCACAAAGCATTTTATTTAACATTAGCATTTTCCTTTAAAAATTAAAAGTGGAATATAGACGCTCTAGGTTGAGAATTGATGGTAGCTGGGTCAAGGTTTTGAAACAAACTCACAATTGTCTGTCTTTCCATGTAGGTATCTTTTCTCTGCAGCGAGGTTTTTCGAAGTGGCATTTAATAATTGTAACAGAGCATGAACGACTCTATAGTTACTTGACTATATTAGACCGATACTATTTTCGTTTAGGAAGGGTTAGAATAGGGTTAAAAGAGTATACAGATATAAGATTAAATAGAACTTGAAACGTATAATATATAAAAAACCAAGGTTGTAAATGGCTTACTTTTGATTCTAAAAATTATAATTATTTTCCGAGAATATTGGATAATCAAAGTACAAATATTATTTATTCAAAATGTTACTTACTTTTATGAAAATAAAGTTAATTGATAAACCAGTGATGGGCTAATTAATTTTTCCAAACAGATTCTCGTTCTGCCAGCCAAATCAGATCCGTCATTTGACTAATTTATGACGAAGCTGGGACGCCCTTTGACCCCTACCTGGGTTATGCAACACCTCACAAGAAATGCAATTCAGATGCAATAATGCATCCGTGAGCCGAGCTGATTATGGCCTCAAGTGAAAAGCACTCACGCAAACACGCGACGCACTTTGGATTGGGCGTCCGAGGGATTGAATGGATGCCTGGTTTGGTTATTCCGATGAGCCACTTTTAACAAAGTGCAGTCCAAATTGAGGTCCACCAAGCACCGGAGTTTTTGGTTTTGTTGTTTTAAGCGCTGGTGGTACGATGACTGCCTGCTGCAGTTGCAGCCACCGTGGCGTCAATTATCGCCGCCGTAGGAAAAGTGGGGCAGCCAAATAATAAAAACGCGCCCAAACGCAGCCGTCAGGCTTAAAGCACTCCATTGTCAAATGAGTGCAAACACGCCCCTCGACCCCGCGGCCCTGATTTTCCCCCATCTAGCCCGACCATGCCCCTTGCCACAGTTCCTCACCAGCTTTTCGCTCCTCTCAATACTCGTAACCATTTTCGCAGCACTATTAGCTACGTGCTGGCTCATTCTCATTTTATTTAGCATTGTTTCAGCTTTCATTTTTAGAAATTTCTTCAAAACGTTCTACTAAGGCCTGTTTGCACAAAATGTTAATGATTGGTAAATTGATTTTTAATTAAAACTATGTTTTTTTAAAGGGTATTCAACGTTGCGACTTAGTGCTGTTTTTCTTTGGGAGGCATTTTTGTTGGCAGTTTTCACGCCTCACTGGCCTCCTTGTTGCCTCGTTTGCTGATTCGCTGATTGATGGCGACGTCTGCAATTGAGACTACCGCGACTTCGACGTCGTCTCCGTCCGAAGTTTCAGTTTTAGTTTCGTCTCCATCTTCGCCTCCGACTCCATCAACAGGCCCAAGTTTTGCCCCGCGCAGGTGTCGCCGACTAATTAAATGAAGGCGACGCTCACGCATGCGTAACCTGCAAACAGTGTGCCCCTCCCTCGGCTTCTGCGCCCTTCGCAACGCATTGTTAAGAAAATGGGTCAATATGCAATTATTGCATTTTTTACTTTTCATATACATATACTTCTCAGTCTGTGGGCTCAGTTTTGTTTGCGTCACAGGCGGAGAGTTGACGAGTTCGCAATAGTCATAATATGGCTACTTCACTTGGCAAAGCAATCAAGTCGAGGCCTGCGAGGTAGGTGTTGGTTTTGTTAATATTTGCACGCTGGCCTTCCCCAATGTAATGTTCTCCCTCCCCCCCTTAACGTTTCTTACATTTTTTGAATGTAGTAATACAGACTATTTTAAATTTGAAGAAAAGTTTTATTTAAAAGCGGATTCCCATATTCATCACTTCCATCTACACCGTGTTGGTAGTACGATTTTTATTTTAATATTTATTTTTATATTACCTCTCTCATTTCTGTCACAAATTCTATCACAACTATGGGAATATAGGAACATTTTTGGATTCATAGGGAGTACAATTTTGGCCAGAACCCATCCAAATTTGTCCTTGTTTGGGTGTCAACATGAGGGTCCTCCTCGGTGCTGGAACCTGCTTTAAGATCGTAAGTCAAACGGAAATATGAATTCAAAATGCAACCAAAATAAACGACTCCGTAGTGCAGGTTTAGGGTACGTTGGTACAGCAAGAATAAGTCATATGTGCCAACAAAGGAGCTTTGCGAGATGATGAGAAGAGCCATAGAAGCGAGGGCTCGCAAAGGGACTGTACCACCTCGCAGCCGACCGATGCAAGTAAAAAATCCAGAAACTCCTGCTCTGGAAACTGTATGTCGGGCACTAAAATCATCCAATTTCAAGTCAACTGGATCCCCAAGCCACGCTGGCGGTGATGGTGATCACGGCTTGGATTCCAGACATCAGACTTCGAAGCACAACTCAGGTTCGATTCGACCCATTTCAGACCAGGATACAGATCCTGAAATGGAACAAATTTTGGATAGAACAAAACCACTGGATCCTACGTTATTCAATTGTAAGGATTGTCATCGCATTTCCCCTAACGCTACAACAACATTCGGTGGAGAATTATTTAGTAAGAAATCTTCTGGTAATCGAAGCATGGATGAGCAATTCCTGAATTCAGAAACACCCCACCCACTAAGAACACCAAAAACTCCCGTTGAAAACCCATTAAGCGCTTCATCTAAATTTTTGGATCCAGACCATTCATCATTACCATCAAAATTGTCAGCTAGTGGCTTAAAAGATTTTTCGAAAGCTCCTCCTGCAAAATCAGCAGCATTTCCCCTTGGAACTCATCTTCGCAAAGGCGGCAAAGATGTATCAAAAAATGAAAAACCGAAATGGGATTCTTTTCAAATGCCACCTCAAATCATATCTGAATTAAGCGAAGAAACGCCAACAGCGACTTTCAAATTAGAAGACAAAGTTTCGGACTTACAACTAACCTCCAAAATAACAGAACCCACCAATGGATCCGTCCTAAAAGATCCCTCAAAACAAGCCCAACATAACAAAGAATCTGTGAAAGCCCCCCAAGTCCTGAAAACTAACAAACACGCTGATCTTGATCGTAAAAGTAAGGCCAAGACTTCGGGTAAGCCAAGTCCCACGTCCGAGTCCATAAAGCAACCGTCAAGTAGTTATGCTATGCCACAAGCCAATGCTTTTCCAAGAGGAAGAAATCCTTGCATAGATGGACCTCGAACTAAGGCGGCTGGGGAATGTGAAGAAACCGTAAAAGAAGACCCTTGCACCGAAATCCAGGAGAGCCCTGAGGAAGTTTGCGAGGACGATCCGCCAAAGGTAGAAGATGAATCTTGCGACAAACTAGACAAGGAAGAAGTGTGCCAACTTCTTTCAAAGCTGGAGAAGAATGAAATTCGTGCTCTTCTCAATATAATCAAAGATAAAGGTCGCTCTGACGGTCCTCATGGAAATTACAGCGTAACCAAAAACAAACCTGTTAAAAAATCAGAATCTATTCAAATCAAGAAGCCTCTTAAAGCTGATTTGGCGCAAAAAAGAGACAAGAAAACAGCCAGCAAAGCTCCTGTTAAAGATACTACAAAATCAGTTCTTTCAGCCAAGCCCGAAGAATCATTTAAATCTCAATACAAACACGGAGAATTACCGTCTGCTCCGCCCAGTTTTTCTATGCCACTTGCTGACGCTTTTCCACGCGGCAGAAATCCGTGCAGAGATGGACCTCGCACAGCTGGAAAATGTGAAGAAACTGAAAAACAAGACCCTTGTAAAAAAATCAAAAAAGTAAAAGATGATTGTCAAAAACCAAAAAACAAACCTACTTGCAGTGAGCTTCAGAGTAAAGAAATTAGGGATTTGCTCTCTAAACTAGAAGAAAAACTATCCTGCGGCTTACTTGATAAACACTCCCCGAATATGGGCACATATGAGCTTTCACCCGCAAATGCAGCCAAAGATCAAACACCTCAAGTCCTTAAACTGGAGAATACAAGTAACGCTCCAATTTCTCAGATCTTAGAATCGCCGAAAATATCGGTCAAAGTCGAGGTGTCTCTTAAATCTGACGAGTTAAGCAAAACCGTTGGACATGCTAAGACTATGGATGACTTGACAAAGGACACTGAATTTATTTATGCTACTTCCTCTCTTTTAAACGATACGGCAAATACGAACAACGCCAAAAATTTGGCGGAAAATAAAACCCAGCCATCTCATCAGTCAAATTCGATTAAAACCAAAAAAGTTGCTGATGTAACAAAACCTGCTATTCAGCCTAAACGAAAACAAGAAGATGATCAGCCGCCTCCCCCACCTAGTGATTGTATGCCGCTTTATGGCGCTTTCCTACGGGGTCGAAGCCCCTGCCGAAACGGAAAAAGAGACATGCCCGCAGTGGAACCACTCGAGAAACCACAAGATAAGGTCGAGGATTGCGAAAGGTTCAATAGCCTTCAAAAGGAAATTCGCACTCTTCGTAAGCTGCTGGAAGATGAAAGATCCAAGACCAACAAAAGCAAGGAACCCCTCAACACAATTCTACCGATAGAGGGACAAGAAGAGCCAAAATGTCAAAACGTAACAAAAGATGCTTCTGTTTTCAATACAAAAGACTACGTAAACACACAACATTCAGAAGGTCTTTTAGAAGTACCCGTGAATGATAAAAGTGGAATTTATAACGTTGAAAAGTCGGTCAACTTTGAAAATAAATTTAATGTCGCCGCTGAGGCTGATCCTTCGGCTAGACCCAAAGCTCACCAAGAAACCGCGTCAAAGCTTAAGCCCAAGCCGAACTCGCAACGGCTCACAGAGTATGCCTTACCACGGTTTGACGCATTTCCCAGTGGCAGAAATCCTTGCAGAGACGGACCAAGGGAATCCGCCAAAGAGGAAGATTGCAAGGAGGTCGAAGATAATGAAGATAACGACGAACACTGTGACAATTCAAAAACAGATGAATCCCAAGGGTCTTGCGCACTTGAAACGGAAACTGAGAAAATATCCAAATCTTCTAAAAATATGGAACAAACTTTCCAGTCCGAGGCACCTAAAATGACAGCATCAAAGCTACCTCAACCAAAAGAAAAATTAAAAGAGGTTTTTCCCTGCCCCAAAAAAAGCAGGGAACAGGCAAAAATTGCTACAAATACTCAAAGAGATACAAAGGAAAAACATTTAGAAACGCGTGGAAAATCCGTTGAAAATATGTCAGCTCCGGTAAGTGTGGCAGAGGAACAAAAGAGTAAAACGAGTGAGAAACAAGAATCCCAAAAAATAAGAGAAAGTGAAGCACCATCCGCCAAGCAAAAGACCCCAACATGTTCTAAGATTTGCAGTTTCGAAGTGTCCATTTGTAAAAACGATGACTCCGAAAGGCCAAAGATAAAGACCTTTCCAGTAGCATCGCTTAGTAAAACGCTGAAAGGGTATTTAGCGAGTATCAAGCCGCTACTTACTGCGAAAGAATACGAAAAAGAAGTGGAGGTGACTAAGGAATTTGAGGAAAACGAAGGAGCAGATCTCCAAGGACTTTTGAAGGATGCTGCTAAGGACACCTGCAACTGGCTAACCCCACGCTGGACAACTGCCGCCTATTTGAGATACCAAGCGCCAGTGACGGTTTTCTCTAGTCCAGGAATGTCATTTCCAATTCAAAAATTCAAGAGTGAAGCAGAATTTCTCACTTTCACTGCTAAAGTCATCCACGGTGTTGTAGAATTCAAGAAGATTGTGGATGCCAATAAAATCCCGACGACCAAACTTGGGAGCCAGTATTTGGATAACAGTCAGTTTGGCAAGATCTTTGGTACTGTGCGAACACCAGGACGGTTTTGTGACAAAATTGAACAGCACAGGGACTCAAAATACGTTGTGGTTGTCCATAAAAATAATGTGAGTGGTTATAATATGTTGTAATTAGGTTTCTAAAAATAACTTTTTTTAGTATTATAAGTTACCAGTTTATACCGCTGATGGGAAAACTCTGCATGTGCACATCTTAAGGGACCAACTGGAGGGCATTATCAATTGTCCTGTAGCGAAAGGAGAACCATTTGGGTTACTAACACACGACAACCGTGGAAATTGGGCTGAAGGCTACTCATGCCTCTGTGCGCCCCCCGAAAACGATTATTCCGTCAAGACCATTGAGGAGTCCCTGTTCGTGGTCTGCCTGGATGAGTTTGTGGCGATTCCCAAGGGCAGGATGCATGTAGTGCAGGCCCACCAACTTCTTCATGGCGGGGGTATGCAGAAAAATAGTGCCAACCGGTGGATGGACAAGACTTTACAACTAATAGTGAATCCAAACGGAATGGCTGGATTCTGCTACGAACATTCGGCTGCCGATTGCCAGCCTCTAGCATCCTTGATGGACTTTATTAACCAAAAATTGTAAGTGCGATTGCAAAAAATTTGATATATTATATACTCAATCACAAAACCTTTTCCACACATATTCCTCATATATCTTTGGCAGACCTGAACCCAACTATGGTTGCGAGTCCTGTGATATTGACGAACCAATTACGGTCAATTGCCTCGCCTTCCAGCCACTTGACGATTGCGTTAATTTGTGGCTATGTGAGGCTAAGCGGAATATCCAGAAGATTGTCAACAAGCTGCAGCTGGAAATATTCCACTTCGACTGCCATGGCAAGGACTTCATCAGCTCGCAAGGACTCTGTGTAGACAGCTATATCCAAATGGCCCTGCAATTGGCTTACTATTCCATGCATGCTACTTTGCCCGCTCAGTACGAGTCCGCCCACCTACGAATCTTTGCTGAGGGACGCACAGAGACAATTCGATCCACTTGTGCCGAATCTAAGGCGTTCGTCCAGTTAATGACATCACCGGACGCAACCCACAAGCAACGAATGGGAGCCCTTCGAAACGCGTTGGATGCCCACCAAAAGTTAACCCTTGCGGCAATCAATGGGAAAGGTATCGATCGTCATCTGTTCGGACTGCAGCAGATGGCTATGGAGAACGAATTGCCGCTGCCGGAATTCTTTCATTCCAAGGGATTTGTGCGCTCCGTAACCTTTGAGCTGTTTACCTCGAACGTGGCCACCGAAAACGACAGCTTCATGGTCTTTGGACCACTAGTGGCCCAAGGTTACGGCTGCTCTTATAATCCGCAAGAAGGCAAGATCGTTTTCTCCATCTCAGCCTGGAAGTCGAATCCCAATGTGGACGCTAGACGCTTTGGCCACGCTATCAAAATGAGTTTGGAGTCGATGAGGGAGGTAATCATTCTGACTGGAGGTAATCGATCCGGCGAAAATTGTGGCAATTGTCCAGAAATTCAGTTCCATAAGTAACAGCCGTTTGCCTGTACCCTCATGTTTTTCACCCCATGACAAGGCTAATAAATTGTTTTGTAATTTTTTTGATTTGTCAGCTAAATTAGATATATTCAGTAACAAAGTATCTTTAAGAATAAACAACAGAATAAGAAGATGGGATAGTGACGTGCGTCAGATACAAGATATTTGTTCAGTATTAGTGTTTTTTTCTAAGGTTACAGATTTGTTCAATCAATTTCTTTTTTATTCAATTAATAACGAATTAATATTAAACTATAATTATATAGGAAACAATGGTAGGAAGAAATAGAGTATTTTTTGGATAATTAGACTAGACCGGAAAACTAATTTCGGGCGGATTCGAAATTTCAGAAAAATTTCAGGATTCGAAATTTCAGTCCTTTTTTCAGGAAAATCTGTATCTATAAAAACGCTATCTGAATCGAAATTGTTCAACAGAATCATATGCTATTTTCGGTCATGTGGAATGGAAGGCCTTCTAATTGGCCCTGTTCATTCTACCTCGGATCACTGCAGTCAAATTCAGTTGACAGGCAAATCAGCCCGTGTGAATCATACGCTCCGGAGGTGATGCCTCCTCACGTGGTGTTTGTTCCCAGTCCCGACACCATCTGATCTCATTTTAATCGTAGCTAATGAATGTCAGCACTAATTGCCACTTGAGTACCACCACTCAGCTGCTGGGACAGCGAAAGGCCGGTTTCTACAAATGATCTGAAACAAAAAGTTAAAAAAAACTGAGGATAATGACAAGAAAGGAAAGCTGACTTCGGGTGGAGCTGAAGTTAATATACCCTTAAAGTTAAATTATACATATACTCCTAGCAAAAAAGAAAACCTCAAATGATGTGATTAGTTTGCATAGAAATAGATAGACGGTCATGCTTAAAACTACTCATCACTTGGTCGCTATACTTGTTTTCTATCCTGCGTTTCATATTTTTGATGAAAATGCCAAAACGCTCTCAAAGGGTATAAATTTACAACGTCAATCCAAACCTTATAAATGTTTATTATTATTATTGATTATCATACAACAAGATAATCAATCCTTTTTTTAAAATGTTGAAAGAAGCTAAAGAGAATGTGAGAACCAGTGCGTCACTTAAATAACTTAATATTTCAACTAATTAACACAAAATATATCAATAATTAAGTACGCGTAAAGCACTCGAGTTGGATCATTAATCATAGGAAAACAGATGCCAACCATTGCTAATGATGTAGTGTCTCAATTCAAATGAGCACGGATCGTTTTACTTTAAATAATTTATATTTTTTTTTTCAAAGTTTACATAAACAAGAAAAGAAATCCGTAGACCCCAACTCTCTAACTCTAAAAAAAACCAATGATATGGCATTCCCAATCAATCAGTTATATAGCAACTATAAGACATAGTTGGGCGATCCTGGGTGTTTCGACTTATATACTGCGTGCAAAAGAAGGATGAGTGCAAAGTTTGAAATTCTTAACCCAATCGTTTTCTTACAGTTATACAGATTTTGTGTTGAGAATCCTGCTCTTCAGGACTGTCTAATTTGTTATAAATATTTATTTTTTATTTTTCCTAAGTAAAACCTAAAATTATACTGTACAAAATGTATAAATTGTATTTTACAATCTTTGGTATTACTCATTTAAGGAACATTTCAACACTCTTAAAAGCAGATAGGTGGAAAAAAATGTTTGGTTGGACACATGGTGTATGAGTAACCAGCGCAACGACAACCATTTATGGCGCCCCTGCAGCATCGAATCCACAACATGGACAATGAATTCGGTTTAACGATTTTCTGTCTTTATGTAAGTGTGATTATTTTTTGTCTTTTCTTTCTGTTTCGATATTGATTTCGGTGCCGTGTCATGCCTCACGCTGCACTTTAGTTGCGACCAAGTTAAGATCGCAGTAGTTTATTTGTGTTCCGAATAATTGTCGTCGGACGTGGTGATGTCATCCAGCCAGGTAGATTTAGGTGGTCGAGGTGACTTTTGCAGCAGTCATCGTCGCAAGCAGTTTGGTCGTTGATGGATTCGTTCATTGAGGTGAATCTCGAGTTGGATTCAATACAGTTGGTTCGTGGCGTGGAGTAGACACAGCCTGCTGCGCATTTTGACCAATTTTAGCCAAATTCAATTAGTCTTAACTGATGTTTCGTGTTTGCATTTGATAGAATTGGCCAAAGAAGCGGGTGCTCCCTGGCTCGTTCTCGCTGATATCATTGGGGTCAAGGCTAGCACCCAAAAGCCAAACCCAATCTCATAACCCAACTCTGGATAAATCTTGACTGCTGCGCAATTAAAAGAAAGTCGCGCACATAAATTGCTTTTGACACAATGCACCGAAAACAAATTTGTGTTTATTAAGTATTTAGTGTTTTGAATATCCAAAATATGTATATATATTTTTATGTTTTTAAGCTTCGCCGACAATGTTTATTTAGATAAAATATATCTATAATAATATTTTTTTGGTTGAAAAATCATCTTAACGGATATACACACATAATTTTAGATTGTGAGCTGGCTTCGATTCAGCTTCTTTAATTAGCATTGAAAATAAACCTTTTGCGTCGGTGCTTTTTTTATACCCTTGCAGAGAGTTGTGTGCAACACAGTGCCAGACATCTTCGTCCCCACAAAGTATATATATTCTTGATCAGGATCACCTCCTTAGTTGATATAAGCATGTCTTAAAGCCATCTACTTCAAACTTCTATTTTTTGCCCGCAGTATATATGTAAATCGGAAATGCCATAAATTTGGTGTTTTGAGAGTTAGAGAGTTCGGAATCTATGGATTCTATTTTTTGAACAATAATATGACTATGTATATCTTATAGCTGCCATATAACTGAATGGTCGGAAATGTTTTTTCGTGTTTTTAAAGATAAAACGTTTGAACTTTCTACAGATTTAATTTGTTTCTAATTCATTCGACCTACCAAATTCCCGAAAGATCGG